GGAGAGGTTGGTGCTTTTTCATTTTTGTGAAGCGCTACTGGTAGTTGTAGCTTATATTAATATAGTTACGAACCATTTGATTGTGCATTTATCATCTGGCAGTCCTTCTTACAGTTTAAAGCATTTGATTCCGTTTGTGTTTATGACAAGTGAGTAGCACTGTCGCCTCATACCTGATTTGTTGCTGTCTACTGCATGTGCGCGCATATGTGTTTATGTATGTATGGTTGCATGTTTTCTCCATATTTCCAGGTTTCCTGACAGGTAGAGCTACCAAAATCGTGTGGATAAATGGTTTGCTTTGTCCCTAATTGCCTGTAGTGAGTGAGAGTGTGTTCTAAGGCTTATGGGTTTGAGTAATGTAAAAGTAGAAGTTTCTGTGTCAGTGATTTCCTTAAGTGATAGATTTTAGAGGTACGCATACCTCTTTATACAGTAGCTTAAACCCATCAGTATAGTTATTGACTGTTAATGCCTTCAGAAAGTCCATATGTATGACAAAAAGACCTAAGCCTTTTTCGTTATTTGTTGAATTTGTACTTATAAAAAAATCTTTGAGAGAATTAATGACTGTTAATGTTAAAGGTAATGGTTGTTCTTTCGAAAGCCATACATGTACAACACTGGGTGTCAGCATTGCGCAGCGAAATGTTGTGAGGTAAGGTCCAGCCCCTCTTACGATTTTATTTGCTGGGAGAAGGAAGACAGAGGCGAGCTCCAGTAGAGGCTAAACGCGTAATGTACGGGAAAGAAATATCTCAAAATTTTGTCGAAAATTAAAATGCTGCGTTGCATCTGTAAATGGCGCTATGTTTCTGGCCCTTGAAGAATATTGTGGTTGCATTTTTGCAAAGGTTTTTTAAACAATCCCCAATGAAGCACGCCGGGCAAAGATGGAGATGTGAGTACCGGGGGCTGGTCCTGCCGCTTTGTTTTCTGCTCTTTATTTCCAACAGTGCATCTGCGCAGATACGGTATTCTGTTGCAGAGGAGGTAAAAGATGGAACCACTGTAGGAAACGTTGTGAAAGATCTTGGACTTGATATCAATACTTTAATGGAACGACGGTTTAGGATCGTACCTGATTCCAAATACACCCTTTTCGGTTTAAATGAAAACAATGGCGTCCTGTATGTCAGCAACAGTATCGATAGAGAAAAAATTTGTGAAAGCAATACAGCTTGTTTGATAAACTTGAAACTGGTTGTTGAAAACCCTCTGGAGATTCATCATGTTGCCGTGGAGATTATCGACGTTAATGACCATTTTCCCACCTTTCCGGACAAAGAACTGCACCTGGAAATAGCGGAATCTACGCTACCGGGGGCGTATTTTCAGTTGCAGGCTGCGCGTGATGCGGATAGCGGAATAAATTCTGTGCGTCGTTATAAATTAAACCAAAACACTCATTTTGAATTAGAGGTAAGAGATAGAGGGGAAGACCTCAAAGTTCCATTTTTAATATTACAGAAACATTTAGACAGGGAACAACACGAGAAACACAGTTTACTCCTAACAGCTTTCGATGGAGGTTATCCGCCGAAGTCTGCCGAACTCAGTGTAACAGTAACTGTGTTAGATATCAATGATAACCGGCCTATCTTTGATCGTGAACTATATTCAGTAAGTTTATTGGAAAATGTTCAGATTGGTACCGTTATTTTAAAAGTAAACGCGACCGATAATGATGAAGGTCTGAACGGGATGATTGAGTATGCATTTGGTAGAAATCAGAATAATAAGATTCGTAATTTTTTTCTTTTGGATAACGTCACTGGTGAAATTCGCGTTAAAGGCTATTTGGATTTCGAAGATGCAGAGGTTTACCAGCTAGACATACAGGCCACTGATAAAGGACAGCCTCCTATGACGACGGACTGTAGTGTCATCATTAAGATCATTGACGTAAACGATAATAATCCTGTGATAGAAGTCACCTCCTTGTCCACCTTAGTTCCCGAGGACTCAAAACCAGGGACTGTGATTGCTTTTATAAGCGTCACAGATCGTGATTCTGGAATAAATGGCAAAACTGTGTGTAATGTACCAGACAACCTTCCATTTGAGCTGAAACCGTCCTTTCAGGATAACGTCTATTCTTTAATCACAAAGGGTCATCTGGACAGAGAGCTTGTTTCTCATTATGACGTGAAAATAACTGCCACTGACTGTGGTGACCCCCCTTTGGCCACTGCTAAAACGGTACCTGTTCAGATATCAGACGTAAATGACAACAGCCCTGTTTTCCTCAAAAATCCCTATTATCTGTACATTTTGGAAAACAATGAGCCTGGAGCTTCCATATTCTCAGTTTCCGCTTCCGATAAAGACTTGGATGAAAATTCATGGCTATCGTATTATATTTTAAGAGACGGAGAGAAGACAAATTACATTTCATCTTTTCTGAATATAAATTCTGAGAATGGTGATATTTATGCCTTGAAAAGCTTCGACTTTGAAACAATGAAAACCTTCCAGTTCCAAGTAGTAGCTAAAGACTCCGGAACCCCGTCACTA